ACTTTTAGAAAATATTTATAAAAGATAATAAAAATTTGATAATTATTTAGAATAGAGAGACCAATTTGATAGATGTTAAATGGAAGTAAAATATTATGTCTTTATAAAATATTAAGGACTTATTTATATTAGCTCAGTTCATGAATCATGATGGAAGTATTTATTTATATTCAAAACAAGTTCAATTTTTTTTTACATATTTGATAAACTTTCTGAATAATGTTATTGAATATCAATTGATCTTTATTTGATAGTACAAACTAGTTAATTTAATAGAAAATAGATTTTATTTTAGATTTGAAAATAATAAGAATGCTGAATTGTGAAGTATCAAATTTTATCCGGTTAGACATAAATACTGTATATAATCCTTATTTATAATATTTTTAACTAATTTATTCTATGTAGATATAAAACCTTAAATTGATAAGACTCTCATAAATATTTAACTATAATTCCTTTAAATCATAAATATAATATATAATTAAAATTTAACAAATATGTGAATTTTGGCAAATGTCTAATGATTTTTCAAGAAAAATTTTAGTAAAATATATAATAAAAATGGTATAAATTATATGGCAAATAATATCAAATTATATAGTAGAAATTGATTGACTATTTATTTATACTAAATTATATATCAAATTATATATTGAATTATGTAATAGAAATTGATTAACAATTTATTTATATTTTTAATATGTCAAATTAATTATTTTTTTTGATAAATGTTATATGAGTGGCATTATACTAAATAAATATTTTTTGACGAATGTTTCAAGTTATTGTAAAAAATTATATTAAGAATTTATTAATTAAAAAATAATTAAGATTCTTATTAACATTTTTTTTATGTATATAGTTTAAAGAATTATTAAAAAAATTATACCGATCAAAATTATGTTATTTATTAGTTGAATTATTGTCAAATTTAATAATAAAATTATTGCTGAATTCTTTTTGATTATTATTACTTGGCATATTATTATTTCAGCAATAAAGTAGCAATCAAAAATTTATAGATAAATTATATAGTTGCTGATTTATTTATATCCTTTTTTTATTGAATTGTTTATTTTTTGCCAAATGTTACACAAGTGGTAGTATGTTGAATATTTTTTTTTTGACTAGTGTTACTTATTATTTTACTTTAAATTTTTTTTTTTATAAAAAATTTTTAAATTTATATCAATTAAATTTTATAGATAATTACAATTATTTTTATAATAATTACTATATGAATTTAAAACTTTATTTAAATAAAGATCATATTTGCTATAATATCATTTTATTTTTTTAACAAAAACTGAAACCTATAGATTAAATAAATTAAATAACATAGCTTTAGATCTTTAAGTAAAGTTTTTAATTCAAATTTATTAAAAAATAGTTATAAGTTTAAATAATGAAAAAAAAATAAAATTTTAACTTTTTATCAATTATAGAGCTAAAATTATTATATATGAAGATTGCATGAGAAAAGGTTTCTAGTTTAATTATATATGGTTTCTATGACTTTATTTTTAGAACTATAATGGTAAAAATATTAAGGTATTCGAGTAATTAATAAACCTTTAAGTATTTGAGCTTTAATAGAATAGATTAGCATATATAGTATCCAACCTCCTGTGGTGACACTGGTTTCCATAATAGGATTTGCGATAGGTTACTGTTAACTCACTATGTATGACAGTTTCTATATTTTATTTTTTATATTAAAATATTTTTTATATTTAAAATATTATTTATATTTTATATTTTTTATATTTATTGAATTCTCGCATCTAATTACTTTGTTTCACGATTTTTTTTTTTTTTTAAAAAATAATTTAGTAATGTTGTATGTATGGTTATTTTATTTTATCCAAATATGACCAAATTATGTGCAATTTTGCAAAGATTGGCATCCGCTTTTATGGAGAACGAAAAACATATATAGAAAGTTAACAATGTTCTGGCAAATGATTGGTAGAATGAGTGCACACAAATGCTTGACTTTTGTTTTGGAGCCTTAATAACGCAGCTGTGCAAAGTTCAAATTCTTTAATGTAAGTCCAAATATAAAACCACAGAAAAGATATCTAACATCTTATTCCACACAATTTTTTAATCTGATTCGTTATGGCAAGTTTTCCATATACTCGGAAAGAAAGAGCGAGTGAAAAGGAAAGCGAGGATAGAAGATATGAGAGTGAAAAAGACCAAGAGGAAGTGAAAAATAACGATATTTTACGATTTAATCTTGGTTTGGTTGCATCTGCTTTTTCCTCAATACTCAAAAGCCCTGTGGTAACACTTGACGATTATTTGAAAGAGGAAGGGAATGAAACCGTAGACTTTTCTCAACAAATACTTGACGTTAATTCGATTCATAAATCGTTCCTGGTCACCGAAGAGGATATCTTCGGGCATAATTTATTTGAAGAGTAGGATGATATTTCCTCATCCGAGGATAATATCCAGTTTAGCACTTCGCCTTCCAATTTCCGGACGTACAATTATCTTCCCATTTCACCAACAATCAATCGACGTCCCAGTTACTACTCAACAGGTTTACGTGAAGTTACGCTTACCACCCCGGTATCAATCCAAGGTAGACCGTATGCGCCGCCACCACCACCAAGGACCAGATCTCAAAAAATTCAAATATTTGTAAGCGCGCTTAGTTCTACAAAAAGTTCTATTATTATTGATAATAATGCAACTGTCCTCCAGTTGAAGGAAAAAATCTGCCATCTTCTTGGTTATGGTATCCCTTGTCAACGTATAATCTTTGCCGGCAAGCAACTCGATGATGATCGATCTCTTTCTTCATACAATATTCAAAATTCGTCCACGGTACATTTAGTATTCCGCCTGATCGGTGGCATGACGAGTTACATTATAACTCCAGAATTTCTGAAGCCAGAGTTTGACTTTGATTTTACTAACATTACTGATGATGTAATTTACATGCGTGGTGGTCATCCGTACAAGCGACCATGCGGATGGAACCGGCTTGCACTTAATGTTTCCCAAAAATATGACTCGGATGATTGGTTGGGTATTCACTTGCAACGAAATTCATCGACAGAGTCGGTGAGTGGTGAATGGCCGGTATCATATCACGGTACATCAAAGGAAAATGTCAATGGCATTGCTGATAAAGGATATCTAATAAGTAAAGGGAGGAAATTTTTACATGGGAAAGGGATCTATTCATCTCCAGATATTGACGTAGCTGCACAATTTGCCGAGAATTTTACACACCAAGGCGTTCGTTATAAAGTGGTGTTTCAGAATAGAGTTAATCCGAATTGTATGGCAAAGATTTCGCCTTCGGTTACAAAGACAGGGGGGGAGTATTGGATATCTCCTAACGAGGAAGACATTAGACCATATGGGCTTTGTTTTAAGAAGGCCTGAATGATCAGCGAAACGATGAATCCGCATAACACATTTATTTATTATTCAAACTACGTAAAAGTTTGTTTTTTATTTTAATAATTATTATCATCCAACGTACAGTAATTTAATTAATACTTATTCAAAGGGTAATGTTTGCTCACGTGATAACGAAACGATGCACACATCATGATAGTCTAATTAGTCCGATGAGAAATTACGTTATTTTTTTTTTCGGGAACACAGAAACTACAGCAAATAAACGTATTTGAGAAAAACGGTTTTCAACCTAAACTTCCATATGACCAAAAATGGAAATGAATTGGTTCGGCCCGATATCTTCAACTCATTTGATTTCCCAATTTCCCATTCCTACTATTAATACTCTCGCATGCCTTATTGTTACATCTTCAAAACGCCAAATCTATGCTTTGGTCATTATTATTACATGATTATTATAAAAGATGGAAAGTTTAATTAAATTTTTCCTCATTCGTATTGGTAACGTGCCAAAATGGGCAAACAATGTTTATGGTATGTGGTACCAGTGTAAGTGTGTTATGGGTGTAATGATCTCCCATGTTTCGTCCGCGTTGCGTTTGGTATCACCTTTATAATATGTACTTTCGTGCGCTCACGCATCTCACTGCGAATGTCGCTCGATGTATGCGTTTTTTTTAATTTGTTAATTTGACGAGCAGGCAATGAAAAAGAAGAAAAATTTTGCCATGTACTATATGCTTCAAAGCATATCTAAAGCATTTTCAACCGTGCATAAAGTTATCTGTGACAAAATTATGTGATTAAGGAAGATGAATATTTGTTAACGCGCAAGTACATGCAGTACTGTATGTTAACTATGTTAATATATGCATTTTCCTTGAATAGTCGTGAATGCTAAGGCGTACGTATAAAATACGTAACGGTGAATGCATTCTGCAAATCGGCTTCATTTTTTTATGTGCAACCAATCAAAACATTGTCATATGATCAAAAAACTGAAGATATAATAATGTTCGTCCATGCCAAAATTGAAAAAAAAAATTTTCTCTTTCTTCTCTTACTCATCTCTTTAAATTTCCCATTTAAAACATTCTTTTTATCTCACGATTTAACAATTTGGCTTTTGAAACGGAAATCATCTGATGTTTTGTGTGTGGCTTTCAATAAATTGAAATATTGAACCAGATTTGGTATCCTCATTTCATCATTCAACAACTTTTTTGTTTAATATTTTATATCTATCCACGTATCCCATTATTATACATATTTATAGGATTTAAACAAAAATAAATAAACAAAAAAAAAAAAATTTTTTCTTTTTCTTTATAAAGGAAAAAGGAAAAAAAAAAAACAATAAAAATTTTTTTCATTAATTAACGAAAACAATCTCGGCTACCAAATCTATACGCACAAAACGACTATCTAGTTTCGTCATACTCTTTGCGCAACACGAATTTTTTCT